GGGAGGCCGGCCCCGGGCCCCCCGCCTCCCCCCACGTGGGGAACCATACCCAGGGAACAGCCACCCAGCCTACACCAAATCCCCGGGTCTCCATCTTCTACAGGAGGCTCTGGCTGCCACACCAGTCCTTTCTAGTAACTCAAATGACCCTGATTGCCACCAAATGGGGTGGAGAGAGGCGCCCCTCTCCATGGCAACACCATGCCCAGCTCCCACCCCAAACCCCACTGACTCAGGCAGTTGGCCTAGAAGACCCTGAAGGCCAGCCACCACCCAGAGGAGGACATCAGAGGCACCTATCACCTGCCCTGGACTGGGAGATGTCAGAGGGAAGAGGCTGTCTCAAGGGGCTGGCTGCCTGGGTCTCTCAGGGTGGGGTCCTTCCTCTCAGTGTCCTGGGCAGACTGCTCCCTGCGGGCAGAAGCCCCTTAGGGAGCCTCCATATCCAGTGAATGACCAGCCACCATTCCCGCACATTTTATTTAATTTTAATTTAATTTAATTTATTTATTTTAAATGTTGATGCTGGTCCTTTTTATTTTTTAATTTAACTTTATTTATTTTTTTTAATTTTAATTTGACCAGAGAGAAACAGAGCAAGAGAGAGAGAGCGAGCGAGAGAGACAGAGGGTGAAAGTGAGAAAGCAAGCCTCCAGGTCTGGTACTCGAACTGTGGTCGGCCATGTGAGAGTCGAGTGCCTTTAACCACCATGCCACCTGCCGACCCCTATTTTATTTATTTTTACGACAATGTGTATGCGTGTGTGTGTGTGTGTGTGTGTGTGTGTGTGTGTGTGTGTGTATGAGAGATAAAGAGCACCCTTAGTAGAGCCCCATCACACCACAATCCCCTTTCCCCAGTCCTTCAGCTCCTCAGGATCTTGGGTGCCTACATGTGTGCTCAACTTGTTTTCAGACCAACCCAGGGATCCAAACCCTCGGTTGGCCATGTGGCCTCTAGCACAGCAGTCCAGCATGCCCTGGACTGTGCCACCTGGGCCAGGCCCCAACTGTTGCTTGTTCATGTGGAGATTTGTGTTTTTTTTACCTGAGCAGTTCCTCCCTGAAGATCCCAAGCCCAGCCCCTGGAGATGGCAAGAAGGATGCGGCCCATGTTGACCCCATGACCTCGGGGAGGAAGAACCAGGCCAGCGATGTAAAAGGGGCGGCGTGAGGCTCCATCGGGAGTGTGTTTTGATGTTCCACCCCTGTTGTTACTTGTGACGTGGTTTCCTTGACCGGGTGGGGTATCCTCTGCTGTGTTTTCCAGTGTCCTGTGACTATTCTGCACTGGTCATAGGGCAGGACGGTGCCCAATGGGTTGGCCCGAAAGGGACTTCCCTGAGGTCAGCAGGCATTGCCAGAATCTCATCCTGGCAAGAGGCAGATACTGGGGCCCTCAGAGGAGAATATGGCAGGAGGGCCACAGTGTGAGGGGGGGATGCGACACCTTGTCAGGAAGCCAAGGAGGAGGGGGGGTCCCCAGGACTGATGGCCACTTGTGGCCATTAAGAGTTTCCCTCTGTTTTGTCACCCCTTCCTCAATGATTTCAGTAAACATTTCTCTTGAATAAATTTAATCGAATATTCTAGCTGATCCTTGCCTCTACTGTGGGTAATGGAGGAACGGGTTGGCTGGGCAGGGGACGAGGTTGGAGGGGCAGAGAAAGACATCTGCCAGCACCCACGAGAGTCATCTCTTTAACCAGCAGGAAGTACATGAGGGTTTTTCTTATATTTTATAGGCAAATTGTGAAGTTCTGTGGGTCCATTGGTCCTGAAGTTGGGGTGATCCTGGCCCTAGGGCTTTAAAAACGTGTGAGTGAGGGCGGCTGTCTCCTTGGCTGGGAGGGCTGGTAGGAAGACGCCACGATTATGTGATGGCAGGCACGCAGGAGTGTTGAACATGCTTAGTGCATGTGGCGGCGCTGTACAACAGACAGCCCTGCCCCGAAGCCCAGTAGCCCCCCTCGCGGGAAGCTAGTTTTAAGGTGGTCAGATTTTTTAAAAAAATCTCAAATGTCTTAAAATTGGAGATACCCTAAAAGTTGAAATATCTCTCCATGGAACAACAATGACAACTTAATGAGTACCTGGAAATCTCTAAAGACGAGCTTCTGGAAGAATGAGCACAAACACGTTCCTATGACCTCCACCTGCAAACTATCACTTGTTTTCAAGGCAAAGGAAAAGAACAGGCTAGTGAGATGCCAGCGAAGGAGGGGCCTATAGAGGCCAGGTGTGTGGAGGGGCCTCTCTGAAGGCGTAGAGCTCAGGCTGAGCTGGAGGCTGAGTGGGCGGAGTAGCAGGCTGCTGTTTGTAAAAGGAGAACTTTAGAGAGAATACATTTAATGGCTTATTTGAGCAGTGAGGAGCAGGGCACAAGGTCCCAGCCTGAGGAGCCATTCCAGGCCCAGTTACAGTTGGCACTTTCCTGTAGAGATGACTGTCAGCACCTGGTCACAGAGAGACAGGCACTTGTGGAAGGTGTGGGGGGTTGAGATTGTGAGGACTTGGGGCAAAGCTTCTTTCTCTGTGTGTGTGTGTGGGGGGGGGGCGTAGGATGGCTTCTCTCAGCCTGCCTCTGAGTGGAGCTTGAGACTTCGGGGCTTCTGAGTGTCCCTCTTCCTTATGAACTGAAGGAAGGACATGAGGGTGGACTCTAGCCCAGGGCACACCTGCTCCCCTTGAAAGGCTCAGCCAACCAAGGGGCAGAGCAGGCTGGTTGAGAGGGAGCCATTGTCACCAATTCTGTACCCTGTCCCACTCCTGGAAACTTCTGGAACTTAAGAAAAAGCCCAGCAGCTTTGGGGAGTGGGGACAGTGTCAGCACCTTCCTCACAGGCCTTCTCGAGGGTTCAAGCATGTTGGTCTTGCCCCTTCTGCCAACCCCCACCCTCCCAGCAGCCAGCTCCTCTACCTCCCATCCCCCCTCCCGGCCGAGGCAGGTCGAGAGGCCACAGCTCAGAGGGTGCAGAGCGCCTTAGCTGTGAGTGAATCACTTCCCTGAAGCCCAGCCAAAAATGCTGGGCACCCTCCTGGCCCCGTGCCCAGTCTGGTGCTAGCCCGGCTCCTATCTGCAAAGGCGGAGGTTGAACTTAGCAGTCATTGGGACCTTTATTCGAAAGAGCTCCACACAATTAAGAGATGCTTAATGCCTGCCCTTGGGGGCGTGCAGGACCTAGCTTTGGGCAACTCCGCAGAGGCTGAGTATCGCTCTGAGGCCATGCCTAGTAGCCAGGTCCTCGGGGAGCCAAAGACTTCCAGGTAAACGGGTCAGGGTGCAGGGTGGCCTGGAGGGAGGGCTCAGTGAATTGGACCTTTACTGCAGGCCACAGACTGGAGAAGCAGCCCACGCCCCGTGGTTCCATTATCGTGTGAGGCGCCACGCTCTCTAGTCATACATTGCAGATGCACTGGGACCCATGGTGGCTAGGCCCACACGTTCATCTCTGCTGGGGCTCTGCAGAGGCTGTATTTCCTGGCATGGCCTGGGCCTGAGCACTGCCCTCTCAATGGCTCCCTGGGAACTCGGGCCCCTCTCTAGGCATGCATGGGTGGGGGACATCAGTGCAGCCGTGCCTTCCTGCACATCAGTACAACGCCATCAACTGAGAGATCCTGTGGCGCCTGCAGGCAAAGCAAGCCATATGTCCCACAAGTGGGACTTTGGGGGGTTTGGGGAACCGAAGGCGCCATGTGCCTCTGCAGGAGAAGCGGATATCCCCAGGCGCACATAGCCAGGTGGCAGCACCTCAGACCAAGGACAGCCGAGGTCGAGCGTATTGTGTCCAGTGGGCTAGGCTGGAAGTAGGCTGCTCAGAACTCCTCGTCCTTTATGTCCCAGGTTAGGGTTGACCACAAGAGAACTTTGCACAAGATTTGGGAGGGAGAGTGAAGTAGAAGTCGTTGTTTTTAACGCTCAGGAAGCTGGTCTAGGCCAGGGGCCACCCCAGTTCCACAGACGCTGTTGCTGACCTGCTGTCTCACCTGACCTACTGCTCCTTCCCTTCTAGCTCCGGCCTGGTGGCTTCCTCTGCTCTGCGGGGGAGGAGTACCCACAACTCTGGCAGGTCCCCTGTCCTGGAGGGCCGAGGTGCTGGGAGGTAGATATAGCTGCTGGCTCTTCCTGGGCCTCCCTCGCACCTCTGCCTCCCACACACCGGCCCTGATGGCTTCAGCTCCAGCGGCAGGCCCAGGCACAGCGGCAGGGCT